TTTGGAGATAAAAATCCCGCCCAAATTAAAGACAAAATAGGAAATTAATGAGAAAAACAAAATTGGTAATTAAATATATTAGGTAGGAAATTTAGAAATGATGTAACAATAATATACGCCATGTACGTAAGTAATAATACATCAATTGATTTGGTTTCCTTTTATTACATATTTACATCTAGATATTACTACTATAGTACTACGTATTACTTTAGTTTATACAACATGTGTATATCCAATAACTTTTATTATAACAACAACAACAATAATAATAATAATATTAATAATAATAATAATAATCTTTATATAATATAAAGTACCAGTGTTGGCATAACAATTGGAGGGGAAAATCCCGCCCAAATTAAGGACAAAATAGGAAAGTAATGAGAAAAACAAAATTGGTAATTAAATATATTAGGTAGGAAATTTAGAAATGATGTAACAATAATATACACCATGTACGTAAGTAATAATACATCAATTGATTTGGTTTCCTTTTATTACATCTAGATATTGCTACTATAGTAATACGTATTACTTTAGTTTATACAACATGTGTATATCCAATAACTTATATTATAACAATAATAATAATAATAATAATAATAATAATAATAATCTTTATATAATATAAAGTACCAGTGTTGGCATAACAATTGGAGGGAAAAATCCCGCCCAAATTAAGGACAAAATAGGAAATTAATGAGAAAAACAAAATTGGTAATTAAATATATTAGGTAGGAAATTTAGAAATGATGTAACAATAATATACACCATGTACGTAAGTAATAATACATCAATTGATTTGGTTTCCTTTTATTACATCTAGATATTAATACTATAGTACTACATATTACTTTAGTTTATACAACATGTGTATATCCAATAACTTTTATTATAATAATAATAATAATAATAATAATAATAATATAATAATAATAGTATAATAATAATAATAATAATAATAATAATAATAATATAATGTCAAAAAATTCTTAATTTGAATTGGTATCACTTCCGTCCCACTAACATTGAGACAAGAGGAAGTGACGTTATTATTAAGAAAAGTGTGCTTATGTGGTTGATATTGAATTTATAAAATAAGAATAAATTAAAAATGATTCAGAGTCATACAAACTTTACGAAATTTGATATGACACAATCTTAGTGACATTTTCCGAAAATGTAAAATGAGATAATCTTAGAGAAACAGAGGGAGTACTTTATTTGTCTCATGTAGAATAATGATAGTAATAGCAATAATAAGAGCAATTAATATAATACGAAAGAAAAAGTGTTAGATCATAACTTTCGTAAATAATTACACATTAGATAAGAACATGAACATTATAAGTTAATCTATTATGCTCATTCTAAAACAATGTAAGGATCCTAATATGGATGAAAAGAGTTTTCCCTTCCAAGAAAACTTTTCTCCCATTAAATAGTGATAATGTGAAAGGAAAAGGGTGAAGATAAAATTTAATTTGGTAAGCAATCTTTTCTTTCAATCGTTATGTGTATATTTATATAATAATGAAGTAATAAATCTATAATTTTTTTGTCTCTAATATTCGTACATCAAGTGTGATCTATATATAATACCAGCCACCCAAAAGAAAAATGTTACAATTCTAATTAAGCGTGTAACAAATTATCCTCCCATGTAGGATTTTGGTTTTTAACTCTCTCGATCTAAATGTTAAATAATATTCATATAACAAAATTTAACAAAGTGATTACAAATATTGACTAGAAAATTCCCGCTTAAAGTAAAGTTAAATTACATATGATTATATCTCAAGTTCAGTAATTTATTTTTTGGTAAGTTTTTCTCAACATTGTCAAACATAATGTCCACTTATAGACACTATATTATTGAGAAGAACTTACCAAAAACTAATAAGACCGCTAAAGAATGAGAGAGAAATGCCACACATGTTTTTTCGTGTGTCTATCTCTCTAATGTCACATATTCACATTTTATGCATCCACTAAAAATAACCCCTTCTGTCCCATAACATTCTTCCCGATTTGACCTAGATAGAAGTTTAGAAAGTGAGAATAAAGTGAAATGTGTGGTTGTGTTTAAGTAAGAAAAAAATAAATGAATGTTAGCCTTACAAAGCTCTCCAAAAAAGGGAAATAGGAAGAATATTTTGGGACATCCCAAAAAGGCAAGTGAGAAAATTTTCATGAGACGGAGATAGTATATTACCTCTGTTCTGGTGGACTTTGCGATCTTGGAAATATGTGAGAAATAAGAAAAAAGTTCTTAGATTGAGGTTTGTGCACAGGAGAGAGAAACAAATTGAACCACAAATTCATTGTTTAAAAGGAAATTTACAAAGTTTTTGAAACAAACAAAAAAGAAAAGTTGACAAGATTGAGTAAGACGAAGATAATATAATTTAGGAGAAAATTTCCAAAATCGGACTAAACATGTTTTGGAATTTCAGAATAGGATTGCTATGTTATTCTTTCCGAAATAGGAGTATATACTATCATCTTCGAGTCAGTATTGTCAAAATATTTACAATATTAGGCATTGGCATGACATTATTTATTGCCATTAATGATAGTATTTCTTATACATCCAAAATAATATTTCTTATAATCTTTATTTTTATAAAAGAACAAGATGAAATCCAAAATAGTAATGAGGTTTTATCTTAAACATCCATTACTATTAAAATAAAAGATAAGGTATAATAATAACTCTATGTGACAATGAAATAAGTAGAACTTGATAGTACAATTATTAGTGTGTAATTTAAGCAAAAACATGTCTTTGGAGACATTACTTTAACTTTTTAAATAAAAAATTATTTTCCGATGATGATATAAATTCCACGACTTAAAACCTCAATACTAAAAAGTAAATACCACAACCCTTAGCAATGAGAGTAACATTTTGAATATAAAAAACATGAAATACCCGTGCGATGCACGATGTATATCTAGACTTGGATAATAACTTATTTAAAGTTATAGTTTACCATGATATGTAATGTGTAATTTTTCCAAATAAAAAAAGCGATAGAGCTTATGTGTTGTAATTTTTATTAATTATATACATAGTACTATAGTAGTAGCCGTAAGAAAATGCAAATTTGGATCATATAAAAAATTGCAAGTAACATTAAAATAAAGTATAACAATAACTCTATGTGACAATATATTAACTTGATAGTATAATAAGTGTGTCTCATGAAACTTTTAGTTGTTGTACTTTCTTTATAGACACCCTCTCCGTATTTTAAAATTTGTCACACTTTTCTTTTTAGAGTGTATTTAAAAGTTTGCTACACTTTCCTTTTTAGTAAGTTTTCTCTTAAAAATACTGAATTACCCTTACTTTTTATATTTTTGATCTTCTTTCATACACTAACACATTCTTTCTTACTTTTTCTACACTATGCATTACCCCTACTACTTTCCTCCTTAAATAATGTCCCAAAGTCATATGTAACTATCTTTAAATTAAAATACGAAGAGAGTATTCATTGCTGCCAACCGCTAATATTGCATCTGGTAGCGAATTATCGGTCACCGATTTGTACAACGTATGATGTTAGCATTTAACAAAACATATATTATACATACAAGAAATACAACAAAAAAGTTTCATGAGACCCACTAATAGTTGTACTATGAAGTTATTTTACTGTCACATAGAGTTATTGGTTATACCTTATCATTTTTTTGAGTACCTTATCGTTTATTTTAGTTTTATATGATGGTACATAATGTGTAAAATTCAAGTAAAATTTAAAAGTGTATACTACATATATAATTAATAAACGTAACAACACATAATCTTTATCGTCTTTTTTTACTTGAATTTTCATTTGACTTTTTAATTTTACTTGAATTTTTTTACGATCCAATTTTTCATTATAGTACAACTACTATGTATATAATTAATAAATGTAACAACACATAAATGTTATCGTATTTTTTTATTTGACAAAATTACACATTATGTACCGTCCCATCATATAAAACATAATTGTAATTGAGATTTTTACATAAATATTATCAATAGCATATGGGGTTACAAAAAAGTTACTATTAATATGGAGCACGTAGGGCATCATGAGAGTAAGTTAGGGAAAAAGTCATATTTTTGTTAGTGGGGTTTAAAGTATTAATATTTGTGTAATTTTTTCATTGTAATTAAGTCATTATTCAATTCTAGATATATCACGTGCATCGCACGGGTACTTCGTCTAGTATATGTATATGTATATATATATATATATATATATATATATATATATATGTATGTATAGTAGTGTTCCGGTCAGGAATTCCTGACCGGAACCGCCGTCCGGACGATGGCTTTTCGGGACCTTTTTGGTGAAATTTTAATGGAATGTTCTTCATCAAGTCTAGTTTATCCACACAAATATTCAGCTAAAACTCAATCGGGAAGGTCGTCAAATGATTTTTACAAGATAATTGCGCCAGAAAATACATATAAAACGCAGTTAAATTGTAAAAATCATTTGACAACCTTTCCGATTGAGTTTTTATCTGAATTTTTTTATGGATAAACTAGACTTGATGAAGAACATGCCATAAAAATTTCATCAAAAAGTTTCACCGGGAAGGCGGCCAAACGCCGCCGTCCGGAAGGCGTTTCCTGTCCGGAATTCCGGACATGAACTTTCCTCTCTCTCTCTCTCTCTCTCTATATATATATATATATATATATATATATATATATATAGGGAAGAGTTCAAATAAAAAGACCTCTTCCCGTGCAAAGTGCGAAGAAATGCACTTTTGCATGTTTTGCTTGCACTTTTGCGTGTTTCTGTTGCACTTTTTAGCGATAACAAAAAAGTGCAACATATTTACAAAATTGCCACCACAATTTTGGTCGAATTTTGTGCATTTTTGGCTCATTTTGAGCCATTAGATGTGAAAATGAATGCACAAGATTCATTCTCACTTTGGATGGGAAGAAGTCTTTGTATTTGAACCATACAATGATAAATTTAATTTAATATTATTTAATGATATCGAAAGCTCTTGTCATATAATGAATGCAATAATAAACATTAATTTTGAAAAATTAACACTTTAAAAGAAAGAGAAAAATCCTTAAAATTGAATGGGGGATCTGGAATCATCGTTTGGCTGATCGAGAGAGACGCAAATCTTGTAACTATGCCGTTAAGGGGACACATATCTTCGTTACTTGGACCATGGAACAACATCAAATATGCATGACCCATAGCCTGTAACAGTTGAGAAAAGATAAGCATCACTATTAGTTAATGCATAACTCTCTCTTTTTTAAATAATTCAAATGGTGAGTCGAAAAAAACATCGTAAGATAAAAGAAAGTACTAGGGCTATGTTAGGAATTGGAGGTAATTAGAGGAAGATAAGGCTATGAGAGGAGTTGAGGGATGAAACCCTTCATCTTAGTGGGACATACCAATTTAGAAAGAGGAAGGCAAATTTGGTTTATATCCCCTTCATCATTGTTAAAATGACACTTTAATTATACTTATAAAAAACAATGACATTCCTAGGAGGTCACCCATCCCAAGACTACTCCCGTGCAAGCACACTTAATTTTGGAGTTCTTAGCTAATGAGCTTCCTTAAAATGAGATGCATCTTGTTGGTATGAATTGTACTACTAATCCATTTAAATTAAATCTCAAGTGTTACAACTCACATGTTGATAGATACCGAGTCGCGCTCTGAGCCAAGTACTTGCAAAGAATGTATGCATTTTAAGTAGCCATTGGCCGTGTTTGGAAAATGGCGGTTCAACCAAAAATTGGCTGGTTTCATCGAGTCTGGCGTTTTTTATCCTTGAAAACTTTGATTTTAAGCGTTTGGTAGATTGCAGGTTGCTTTAGCGTTTTGAGTCGAAACGCCGAAATAGAAAACGCTTCAAAGTATAGTGTTTAGTTCCAACATTTTAAAATTCGCAGATCACTTTGCACCACAGTTGCTATAGAAACTTTGTTTTTAAACAATTACTCGTACATATTTTGTATTGGTCTAGTGAACTCATGAATTTTAATTATTATGTTTTTATCTAGTTAAATTTTAAATCATTTATTAACTTACACATAGAGTATATGACAAAATATATAGTATTAAACAACAAAAAATACACACTAAAATGTACAAATGTCTTTTTTGTCTTTTTGCCCACTAACCGCTATAAACAAACTACTCAATCCGCTATTTTCAATTCGCTAACATTATCCGCAAACCAATAACTGCCAACTGCCAAACACGGCCAATCACTTCTCATCTCAGTTGCAAAGATTTGAACCCGAGAATTTCCCTTGTGACAACAACCCTATCTACCAGTTGAATTATGACCAACGACACTTTAATCATACTTATGGTTTGATAACTTGATTGCACTTTGCAAGATTATTTGGAGTTTTGACCTGAATATTACTAGAGTGGATAATGAATGAAAACATGGTTTTTTTTATTTCCAAAGATGTGTCTAATCAACATTTCACTTACGAAATTAGTCTTATTCTCCAATGAATTTATCTCATAGTTACATGACTCAAACCATCTGCTCAATTGAGTTTCCTTTGTTATTTGTTAATAAAACTAATTCTCGGGATGATTTGTGAAGGTGAAAGATATTTTATTTTTATCAAAATTACAAATATTTTTTTTAAAGATGAATTGTCTGGGACACCTATAAAGTAGATTAAATTGTTCGTGGCACCAACGTTGAAATACCATTCAACTTCACATCTGCACTATGCATGATTTTTGCTATTTATTTTTTATTAGAGATGGTTGAATTATGAATTTAGAATGGTGCTAGAACTTGACAAGTAAAAGACTCACACCGGAACCAAAATTAAAGAGAGGCCCAAACATGCTAAGAATTTGTTTCTTTTCCTATGGGATAAGACTGGATTCAGTCTCACTTATTTATTTTAAGGAGAATTCGAAATATAGCCCATAAAATATTATTCATAGCCTCCGGTTACTTGAACTTAATATTTTAACCTTGCAATATTTTATGTTTAGAAGTGGCCGAACATAAGGTTCCAATGGAGATTTGATTATTGGTTGTTCATCAAAAAACAACTTGGAGTTGAGAAAAGAAGAGTTTGAGAGGGTTTTGAAGATCATAGAAAATCACGAAAAAACAATCCTTCCAATTTAAAGTAAGGATTGAAGTGAAAATGAATTACTTGGATCAGCTGCAGTCAAGATAGCAGCAGAACGGAAGTAGCAATCTCCTCCATAAGCCTTCATCCTCTGAAAATAGCTGTTGAATGCATAAGAGGCATGGTTCTTGGCAGTGTTTGGGAGATAGCAAGGCTGCTTCTCTTCTATCATGCTGCAGTTCCCACCATTGTTGCAGGCCCATACAGTCGCCCTCTCCAGTTCATCATCTGGGGTCTGCTCGTCTGCTATGCACCAATCTCTATACTGTCCATCTTCTTATCATTCAAATTAGCCATCATCACCCCCACACATTCACTACTCTTGATTTAATTTAAAGCAGGAGCAAGTTTGGTAACCTTGTTTTCGGGTTGTGAGCTTTATTAGCTAATTTCTTTATTAAACATGTCACTTTTGTTTTCACGCATTAAACAATTCTGTAATAAACAGACTAAGAAAAGTTAAATTCACTTTTTTAGTTGAATTGACTGAAGTAATTGTGGAAGATTATTTTAACAATTTTTCATCGTATTTTTTCGTCGTGTACGTTTTTTTATAAAATATATAAATTTTCAAATATAAATGTTTTATGATTGCAGCAGATTCAACTATTTCAACTAGAATTTCATCAATTTCAGCAGATTCAGTCGATTCATCCAATTCCAATTCTACCAAACATTCGGGCTCTAGATCTTTGTTTGGGAAGTAGATTCTTAGAAAATTCCTCATGCATTCCACTCTCAGGGGTTGTTTGATATGGAAAATGGGTTACAAATCATGATTTTTTTTTTCATTTAGAATTTGTGCCTTCCTAGCATTATAAAATCGATCTCAATAAAAAAACTTTGATTACCAAATCAATGTAGAAATGAGAAGTGAATGAACTCTTACCGGATTTTCTGGGAATGGTTCCTAGGATGAGGATCAGAAGCAACACAAACCTTATAGTCATTATTGAACTTGGAATGAATGAAATTCTTATGTACAGAAACAAGTAAGAATTGCACAGAAAAAAGATGGATTTGCAAGGGAAGTATATATGCGCCCAGTAGCTCCAGCTTTTAAAGGGTAACAGAACTGATAATAGTAGTAACGACTATAAGCTTTATTTGGCTGTAGAAACAAATGAAAGAACAAAATCACGTGAAAAGAAACCCCCGAATCGAATCTGGTTGCTTTCTGCACCTTAACATTGACGATTTGAAACAACTAACGTGTGAATCAAACCACACTTTTCCTCCCAAACATGTGAAACTGAAAAAACAACAAATGCTTAAATGAGGCTGAACTTAAATCAGATTTTAACAAATTTGACCCAAGTTCAAGAGAACGTATCCTAATATCTTTGTAAGTTGGTTGTCTATTTGTGTTTTGTGTTTATCATCCTCCTATTAAATTCAACAAATAAGGATAGGATTTTCAAATAGTAATGCATTTTCTAAAATGTAATCCGAATATTTGTGTATTTTTGAAGATAAATTTGAGATAATTTAGTATACTCTAGGGAAATGCTTAATTTGGTTTGTTGTTCCATTTCAGTTTTATTGCAATAAATAAAGTTGACTAGTTTCAAAGACTATTTATAAAAGTCCTGGTTACTCATAAAATTCTAACGAACATTGGATCACCATAAAATTTGATAGAGTGTATTTCCATATCATGAATGAACAAATTTGTATCATTTTTTATGACAACATCTTGAATATTACGCTATTCACATGTTTTATTTCGATCATATTTTAGTAGGGGAAAATAATTTAAATATCCTAAACTTTGAAGAAATATGAGATAAGTACCCCAAACTTACACATGTAATATATATACCCTAAACTTTATATAAAAAGTTATGCTAGAACCATAATTGTATATTCTTTCAAAAATTTAATTTTATGGAGTTAAGTACATAATTCCAAATACACAACACATTTATGACGGTGCAACTAAAATTAAGTTGTACCGGATGTAATATTATTTATTTCATAAATGAAATTTTAGAATGTTAATTTCATTCTAACAAATCTGAGAGTATTTTAGATTATGAAATTATTCCAATAAATTTGTATTTGTAAAAAAATATATACAATCATGGTGCGAAAATAACTGTTTATAAAAAGTTCAGAGTGTATATATTACATATGCAAGTTTGAGTGCAATCACTTTTTGTACTCATGTATAAAAACATATCATACTATATAAAATGCTTTTAAAGATGTTCTAAAATAAAACACATAAAACATTAAAAAAGGAATGAAAAACCATTTAAATGGGGTGCGATTTTCTTCTAATTTTCCCGTTTTTCCTTTCACAATGTAATTGTTTGCTGGATTTTATAAATTTTCTTCCCTGCATTTCTTTCCTCCACACTTCTCTACGACCACACCATTCATGGCGTGGAAGTTACTTTTATTTGGGAGTACTTAGTTATAAAATATGCAAAACTATAGCATAATAGGGATGGACCGGTTCCAGTTCGGGCCTGGGCCCGGACGAGCCTCGGTTCATGAAAGGGGAGGCCCGGAACCGGCCCGGGTAAACTCCGGGTCCGGGCTGGGACGGGCCTCGGTTCTTATATTTTTTTTTGGGCTTTTCCTAATTAACCCTCAACCCTCACCCCTCACCCCCCAAACCACCTCAAATGGCCCATCATACCCAGCCCAACCCAAAAACTTAAAAAAATTCAAAAATAATAAATAATTTGGCCCGGACCGGGCCCGAACCGGCCGGGCCGGTTCACAATTTAGGAGGCCCGGGCCCGGCCCGCCTACCTCACTGGGCCGAGTGGCCCGAACCGGGCACCAACCGGTTCACTGGGCCGGTCTGGACCCGCATAGTAGCGGGCCCGTTGGCCCGGCCCGAGTCCACCCCTATAGCATATGCAGGTTGAAGGCTCATATTTCTCTAACATAGCCGCTCAATAAAATTTGATTTATGAATTTCATGATCAAATGTAGGTAGGGATGGATTCGGGCCGGGTCGGGCCCGGGCCGGGCCTAGGCCCGGTTGGGCCGCCGGTTCAAGAACAGTGGGCCCGGGACCGGCCCGAGGGTTGGACGGGTCCGGTTCGGGCCGGGCCACCCGCCCGGGTCACGGGTCGGGTCCGATTCAGGCCGGGCCGGTTAATTTTTTTTTTATAATTTATATTTTATATTTTATAGTTTATAATTTTATACGAGTATTAAAAACAAACTTCAATTGCATTTATTTGAAATGAAATAGGAACTACATTTGAAAATTAAAACAAACTTTAAGAGATAAAGTGATAAACATTTTGAAAATTGTAATCAATCGGAACTTCCCGCACCTCCCGATCCTTTGGCTTTGTCACATGACTTCATATGCTTGATTGCCATCCCGAATCCGCCTGAAGCACCCATAATACATTTTTTTTCGCACCATTTACAAATTGCGTACCACATCCCGGTCTTCGGGTCCTTCTGCTTATCAAAATTATACCGTATAATGGCATTTTGATTTTCCATCTTAACTTCTTGGAGAAGAGAATTAGAGAGTAGATATATAATATATTGGAGAATAAGAGAATTAGAGAGTAGAGAGTTAAGAATAGGATTTAGGAAGAATTGGAGAAGAGATATGAAAAAATGTTTAAGAGTAGGAGAATTTATAGGTTTTTTTACCCCCCACCCCCCCCCCCCCCCACCCCCCCACCCTACCAGCCAACCCCCCCGGACCCCCCCTTTACCCCACCCAACGGCTATATAGCCGTTTGGGTTGTCCCCAGCCCCACCCCCAAGCCCTCAACGGCTAGTAGCCAAAAATAAAAATAAAAAAGTTTTTTTTTTATAAAATAGACCCGGACCCGGGCCCGACCCGGCCGGGCCGGGTCACAAAAATGATGAACCGAGACCGCCCCACCCCTTCCCCCCGGTTCGGACCCAGACCCGGTTCCGGACCGCCCGACCGGGCCGGTCCCGGGCCCGCACAGTACCGGGCCGGGCCGGGTCACGGGCCGGGTGGCCCGAACCGAATCCAAGCCTAAATGTAGGTGAGTGTCCAAATTTAAAGAGTAATGAATTAATGATACTTATAAAAAAAATACAGTACATTGGTATGGTCAAGACTATGATGCTCTTCTTTTGACTACCGATGACATCTATGAAAATTCCTCTAGGGTGGGAATATCTCTATTTAATCTTCTTGTTTGGTAATCCATAGATAGATCATAGAAGCATTGTGTATCTGAACTTGTATATTCATACCAGCACACATGTCCATTATGGTGTCACAACCAAATGTGATTGAAGATTTCGACCGTTGTCAGCAATGGTGGTGGTGATTGATGACAATGGTAGTAAGAGTAATGTTTGATGGTGACTGTCAACAATGATGGTAGTGATCAAAGGTATTGACAATGATTGCTGGATATGGTGATAGTTTGCGACAGGGATGAGTTAGTACTGCATACCAAACTTCTGAATTCATATGAGAAAAAAGTGGACGGCTACTTTGCTATATCGACAGGAAAAAGAGCGGTAAACTACTAAGCTGTAATCTTGAAGTACCTACCTACATTTCATACAAGGAGAAAACCATGCCTTTCACCTCCACTGTTTCTAACTGTTCCGGCAATAAAAGGCTCACTTAGAGCTGCTCAACACAATTAAAGTGCATCAGTCCAAACCATGGGCAGTAAATAAACATCATAGTAGGTACTAGGTACGTATGTTACAAATTATAGGAGAAAGCAGGTTACAGGATTTTTGCTCTCATTCTTTTTATGAAAAACTTACATGTTATTAAGTAAATCTTGAATCTTAGAATACATCATCACCTGTGACGGGTCACTCCCCCCGGCCCCATTGCTGTGTGAAGCCACTCTGGAACTCCCCTCGAGTTTGATTTTCTCAAATAAATACTGCTTCTCGGCTTCAGCTTCGCTCATCCTTTGCTTGAGATACCTGCTAGTGTAGTCTTCTTGGGACTTCTCTGTCTTGGCAAGCGCAATCCTCTGCAGCCTATCGGCTTCTCGTCTAGCTTCGCCGGCTTTAAGGTCAAACATGTCAGCCTCTGCTTGTTTGAGCCTCACAATACTTTCCAGCTCATCAATCTGCTGCTTCTTTCGCTGCCGCTCCATCTTTAGTGCAGCCACTTCCCTAGCTTTATCCTTTAGCTCCTGGTCGGATGCTTCAAAAGCCAAGCGGGCTTTCTTTACCATCCGCATCTTCTCCTCTGCTACCATCTCCATTTTTCTGATGGCTTCTTGGACAACGTCAGCAATCTTGGTGAATGCTTCCTGCGGAGCTATCAGACGCCCAGCTTCGTCTATTTCTTGACTCTTGGACGAATCCACCTCCAGCTCTACAGAGAGGGCATAGATGTAAATTATTAGAATACTAAAAGAGACAAGTCACAATATCTTCATACTACATTATTATATCTGCCAAATCTTTTTGTCTTCCGTGTTGTCACAATATCTTCAATTGTCATCATCCCAACTACGTGGTGTTGGTGAAATGAAATTTGGAGTGCCAGTGAATCCAAACTAGGTGGGTATGAGGAATGAGATATAGTGTAAATGTATGGTCTATAAATAGTTCTCTTTATACTAATGCAAAAGGAGAAACCTTCTTATGAGAAATAATGAGATAAATTCTAAAACCGTCAACAGCACATGTAAGAAACTGATATAGTTGCTAAGATACTGTTGTCATGCACATACAATATTAATATTATCATACCAATATGAGTCCATGACAGTGTCAATTGATAACTTGTTCACGCTTATTTCATGATTGTGTTGGCTGAAATAAATTGAACTTTATTTAAGGCCACCTTCTTTTTAAAAAGGAGGAAGCCATAATCAAAAAAGATGGTTAAAGACTAGGAGTTTGAATTTGAGAAATAGCCATGAAAGTAGCTATGTGCATCCATCAATTCAGTTAAAAGTTTCAGCTAAAAACTAGGAAGTAGGAACAATTAGACTGTTTATCTATAGCATGTGTTAGTCCCAGTATACTTAACAAACAAAAAACATAAGCAGTGAAGAAGAAGCAGATAGAAAGATATGGAGAAAATCAAACGAATCTGGTATACCGTATGAAAACCGGCCGCTGCTCTCCC